TCATATTAAGTATTGTAACTGTAGATCCAATATCCAGTAACGGAAAGATAATTTCGTTACCCCTTTAGCAATTTTTATGACTCTTCATATTAAGTATAGTAACTGTAGATCCAATATCCAGTAACGGAAAGATAATTTCGTTACCCCTTTAGCAATTTTTATGACTCTTCATATTAAGTATAGTAACTGTAGATCCAATATCCAGTAACGAAAAGATAATTTTGTTACATGTTTAACACTTTTTTGGCCCTTCATTTTAGATATAGTAACTGTAGATCTAATATCCAGTAATGAAAAGATAATTTCGTTACCCCTTTAGCAATTTTTATGACTCTTCATATTAAGTATAGTAACTGTAGATCCAATATCCAGTAACGAAAAGATAATTTCATTACCTCCTTAGCAATTTTTATGGCCCTTCATATTAAATATAGTAACTGTAGATCCAATATCCAGTAATGAAAAGATAATTTCGTTACTTCTTAAGCACTTTTGATGGCTCTTCATATTAAATATAGTAACTGTAGATCCAATATCCAATAACGGAAAGATAATTTTGTTACATGTTTAACACTTTTTGGCCCTTCATTTTAGATATAGTAACTGTAGGCCAAATCCTTACTAGGGTAAGGACGATTACTTTACATATTTATAACTTTTTAGGCCTTTTATATTATATATAGACGAAGCCTAGCCTAGTGGCTAACACGCCCGGACTATGAATCTATGGATATTTGGTTCGCGACCTTTTGTCACACTTTGAAGTCGCAGGTGCGCTACAAGATCACAAGTCCCACTGATCGATCAGACAAGAGAAGCCCAATTTCTGGTGGTTAGTGCTTTTTATTACCTACCTAATCTCTAGTATATATGAGATCAAAATTAGGGAGGGCTATGCGCAGATAGCCTTGAAGAAGCTTTGTACGAAATTTTGAAATAAATAAACAAAGAGTCATATTAGATAAATTTCTATTGTCCGCAAAGAGGATTGAACACGAATTTTAGCGTTATAAGCCCTGAAGCTTATCTTTGAGCCACGGACAGCGCTAATAATCAAATGTAGTGAATACAACATGTTTATCCTACACGCATATATATATATATATATATATATGTAATGTTAGAAAAAAGGATATTAATTATACATAGATAAAACGATAGTTGGGATATGATGATCGAAATAAGACATTAAACATATTTCAAAATAAAATTACAACAAATATAGGAATTACTAAAATTAAAAATGAACAATCAATGTCCAAATAATGTATAAAATATTCAAGCACGTGTTATTAGATTTGACGGTATGAAGTACTAAATGTGTGTCAAATCTAATAACACGTGCTCTCTTACTTTCATTACTATCTTACACGAATGGTATGAAATACTAAATGTGTATTCGTGTAAGAGTGAAATGAAAGTAAGAGAGCACGTGTTATTAGATTTGACGGTATGAAGTACTAAATGTGTATTCGTGTAAGAGAGTAATGAAAGTAAGAGAGCATGACTTAGTGATTATTCACTCAGCTTCAAGTAATGCGTTTATATAGCTATTCAGGTAAGCTTGAAATACAACTTTAAATGTAGTGATGTAACGTTACACAATAAATGTTTTGGTAGCTATGAGGAGATGGTAGTATCATAATAAATAATTTGAATAATAATCAACCTTATCGATATATTTTATATATTTCATTTACACATTACATATACATTAAAAAACACTAGTGATGTTTTTATAGTTTATAAAAACATTTGATGGGATAACATTCATTTTATTATTTATAAAACTAAGTATTAGTAGTTTAGTGGACGAACCGATAACGTTATTGATTGGTTAGTATCAAAGAAATAAGTAACCCAGAAATTGATTGGAAAAACTTTTCTAATCAATAATGTTCAAATAAAAAATATAGATCGGAACATTTTCGATTAGGACAAAAACTTGATTAAAAAACAAAAGACTACTCAGCCTGATATAGAAAACCCTTATATATACTAGCAGATGCCCGTTGAAACAATTAAACGGTAATTTTCCTAAAAATAGTGATGAATAAATATAAAACATGCTGTCAACCAAATCTCTTGGATCAGAGTGTATATGAAATATAATTGTCTAGTGGGCCTTTTACTACCGTCTTTTGTCATTACGTATGCTATTTCAATAACGAAAATTGCATTGTGTTTGTTTTTAAACAAAGGGAACTGACTACAATGCATTATTGACAAATATCTTTGGGTTTTAGATGCCATTTGTGCGTACAGCACAATAAAACCAACGTTTGCTAAGTAACTGAAGAGATGTTTTTCCAGTGGATGCTACTGTTCCTTGTCATTTTACTGAGCACAAGAAAAGACCGCTATCAAAGTGATCGCTTTTGACAGTGTTATTTCAATAAGAAGTCTCAAAGGGGTGATATTCATTTCAATTCAAATCAATTTATTCGATATGGTATAATAAAAATCAAATGATAAAGTTATACTCAAACACGTTCCTCGCTTTATGCGTTTTTTACATTTATGCTCCTATTTTCGAATTATTTCCTTCAATCAGTCGATAGAGGAAATACCATTTTTTTCGTGAATTTCCATCACAAAAAAAAAAGAAATTTTTGTTCTTAATATGTATTTATTTCTCAGATTGACTGTTCAGCAAATACGAAGATTGACTGATCCATGTTGATATCGATATGACATTTTGGGACTTGTAAACAAATTAATAATTGGCCGGTAATGTACTCTTGAAAATAAGAATTCTGATTTATAAGTTTTTGTAAGATTAACCGTTCAGGAAATATAGAGCGTAACAGACAGACATACATTTGACTATTATATATATATATATAAATGTTTTATACGTATGCTGTAATATTAAATTATGATATTTCTATTAGAAGACCACATTCTGAAGTCAGGTGAAGTTCCGATTAATCGAGAGCGTTATTTTAATTTACAAGGTGTGAGTTTTTTATTATTATTTGAAAGGTTACGCCCACTCCAATCATTGTTATCGTTCGGCAGATGGCGCTCTAGTTGATGCCATAGAAATCAGCTAGTTTCAATTGATCGACGACAATCGGGTGTGTTGTCTTTAGGATCGTGCATGTGCTTGTGAAGGGACATATTCTTTCGGAATATATTCGTAGTCGAGAATTTAGCCGTGGCCACAATAGACACTCACAGAAATATGCGTGTATTCAGCCTCACCGCTCAGAATACATTTTGTCAGATATCACCTTGAAAATGCTTTCTCAGAGGGAATAATCAGGCTTTGTCTTCTGTCACTTCCTTGACTTCGAAAATGAGTACCAGAGTGTTATATCTGTACCTTCTATCTGTTCTAGTCTGCTTAACAGTTACAATTTCTCGTAAGTGTTAGTTTTAATTTGAATCTAATTTGTAACTAAAAACAAGACATTTGCTATAAGTCAGAAATGTAAAGTCAGTTTGATTTATTGCGTATCTTGGCAGTTCTTATACTGAGCACCTAACTATATATCATTAACTTTTTAACAATAAAACTTTGTGATGTTTTAATATCATTATAAGTTAAGATAATAAAATTTACATTTTAGCCTAAAGATATTATTTAAGGCCATGAAATTGTGATCAATAAGGTGTTTGCACAAGGAGTGTATAAATCTATCGGTACAAGGACGAAAATATAACTGTTTTCAAGTAAAGTAAATTTTATTAATTTTGTTAACGTGACTCATTGAAACTGCTTCGGGACTACATAATATTTAAACGCTAAATTAAAAAATGTTTTAATACGAATGAGATGACCTTTTTTCATTGATCTTAATTCTGCAGTGTTTTTCAACTGTCAACAAACGAAGTAGTGCGTGAAGAAGATTGTAAACGGGTACAAACACGAGATGTTCCTTTTCCCAGTCGGGTCTTTCTAAAGCATTTTTTTGTACATTACTTACGAAGAAGTTTAAAGAGCAATTCTGGGAGATTCCATCACTGAATTGTTTATCTATTTATTTATTAAAACTTGTTAAACTATGTCATTACTGTTAATGAACGTGACATTCTCGTATTTGATTATATTTAGTTTAAAACTATTAGGCATCCGCCTGTTTACAGTGTAATAATTCAGCTACCAAAGAAGAGGAAACGCTAACAGGTATCTTCAAAATAGGTTATTAATGAATAAGAGCAAATCATATTGAAAGATAAGTATACTAAATATGACTTTACTTCTAAAATGAACATTTCATGGAGATTCTTTCATGTTACCTACTTAACTACATATCACTTGAATTCAAATGGAAATATGTTCTCTAACACTCGAGCTTCATCAAAACACATTATAGATGAAGGCTGTACAGCTGTAGAAAAGACAGACATTTACGGAAGGCTGTTTTGAAACTTAGACAGAGTAATGAATGCAGTTCAAAGCACAGCTTTCTGGTTGATATATACAGCATATGTGGTGATTAGTCTTTAGTTTCCAGACACAGCCTAATTACAAATGGGAAATGGGAACTTCCGCCAGAGGCGTTGATAACTAATGTCCTGACAAGATATAATGAATGTAACATCTCTCGACTAGATTATGGAATCTGTATAAAAATTAAGATCGTTTACTCATTTTATAAATGACTTCGTTTGCTGACTCGAAGTTTCTACTTTTTGTAAGTGAAAAAAACACATTTCCTGCAAGTGCTTTTATGTTGTTTTGTTACTCATCTCTCAACGGCTTGTGAAAGTGCTCAGTAAAACACTTAATTAATCATTTTTAATGGCTGTTGTTGTCGTTGTAAGCCCTGTGTGTCTTTACTAATAGATTAAAATTATCGATGTGAATATGTACTCGAAAGTACAGTCTTTCGTTGAGGTAATTCTTATATAAGTATTCATGCATTTTTTTCGCTTTTCAAGATATAGCTTTTTTTTTACAAAGCAAGCTAACATCTTAGCCATTTCCAGTTTCCTGCTCTAACTTTCTGTTTAACACAAAAGTAATAACTCGAAAAAACACATAACAGAATTAGCTTCACTGAATCGATTTAGAAAGATTAAATAGGGAGATATTAAAACGAGGTAATATCAGCGAACAGCGATTTGAAGATAAATGTCTCTTAGTTATGCCTGGAAGTTTAAATGTATCACAATGTTTTGATTAATAAAATATGCATTTTTTAGAATAGCATAGAATAGTATTATTTCACTACATACATGTATAGTTTTTTTTATAAAATGAAACGTTTTAGGCACACTCTGAAATACAGTATACACTAGAAAATGTAAAATATTTTGTAAAACCTGCTTTAGAAATATACAACTCACGTATTGGTGTAGAAAATGAAACACTTTTGAAAGCTTATGAACAATAGTGTTCAGAGGCTGAAAAATTATATGTTGTTCTGTTTTATGTAGTCTTTTATAGGAATTTAAGAGAATCAGTGATAGTGCACGAGATAAACATGTAAGTTTCATATATTCCGTAAGTAACTTTCATTCTATTATTTCTTTAATGTTCTTTTCATCAACATCTTTCCATTTATTCAATATATAATTTCCATTATGAGGATTATTTTCCATTGTTAGCTTAGTATATGAATTTAAGATTAAGCTAAATCACCTAAGCTGTATTAGTTTTCTTAATACGATCAACAATATCGGGGATAATGAGGATACCCATTATAATCGTTATTAAGTCTTTTTTTTTTACCAATCGCATACTCCTAGTTATATTATACTGCTATATTAAATTACCCAGGTTAATTATTGGATTATTATTATTTTTAGTTTTATTGTACGTAGGTGTCTTGCTTTAGTTTTAATGATTGAAGATATGCTATGTTCAGTTATATTATCTATCCTGCGTTCAGTTATAAATAACCAACATTTAATATTAAGAACTGGCTAAGTTTTTAAAATTGTTTATAATTATGGTCTAAGTGGGAGAGTGTCAAAAATTAATTAATTATTTGTTCATTTCATGCAATATAAGCTTC